CCCCCCCCCCCCCCCCCCCCCTTCACGCCTGCTCATTAGTCTGCGGAGTAAAATGTGCCCTGAAAGTTGAGGAACAACAAAAAGTGTTTCCCTTCTGACAACTGCAGTTTTTAATGGACGATGGAGTACAGGAGAGTGGCTGGAAAAGGGAAGAGAAAGTGCAGGGATAGTGGGGAGTCTGAAGTGCCATATGTTTTCATTATTTGAGCACAGATTGGGTGCAATTTCATTGCACTGCTGCCAACAAAGATTTCTCTATCGGCAGCTGTAAAGTCTTGAAATATTTCCAGTGCCTAGAGTTTCCGCCTGAAACTAGGTCCTGAAACTCCCAACTACGGTTAAACATTTTAGTTGTTGGAAATCATTTTGGGGTTCATTAAAAGAGCTTGAAGGAGCCAATTCCTGCGGCTCTTTGTATCAACTTTACTCCTACTTAAATAGATTTATTTTACACACTTATCCGACTGCATATTGTGCACGTATTTATTGTATATTTTTTGTTGAGCTTTCTATTCGATGTTGTAGCTTCAAGACCTTCGCCCCACACACACAAAATTTGAAATTCGTTTGACTTGACCTCTTATCCCACACGCCCACAAGCAAATCCATATCTGAAAATCACATTGAACCTCGAATTGAATGCACTTTGGACTACAGTCTCTTGAGGGTCTGCAACTGGTGTGTGTCTGCTGTGTGTGGGTGGGCGTTGTCTCTTTATTGCAGTCCAAAAACAGAAATTCAATTTACAGTCAATGACTTTGTCAATGTTTCGCTTGAACCACGTTCGCTGCAACATTCAATGGTTCGTGCAATGCCCCTTCAATGCTTTAACTAATGAGTGCAGGAATGTTGGTTGCCTTCTTACAAATGCCTACCAATAGGTGTCGTAACTTGCGAGACATTTCATACAATCTTCATACAAAAAACCTCTAAATGTGTCTGTAAATTCTCTTTTATAACAGTGCCAACTCTCTGTCATATCTTTCTTCCATCTGCATCGTTACCTTCTCTTCTAACTCTGGTCGTAGCTTCTTTAACCTCTCTCTTATCATTCTTCCCACAAGCACTGTCGAAAATTCCTCTTAATGTCTATGGAAATTGCTTTCAATCTTGCCCCTAAATACCTTCAATCTTCTGTCATGCAACCCACAACCCATCGCAAGCTCCCTTCGATTTCCCTCGCCACTCCCTCCCATCAGTCCTGCTCGCAGCTCTTTTTCTCTGTTGAAATTCAATTTTTTATGTCTTGTCAGTGGCCTGCATCACCTGTGTGACAGCTGCTGTCAAACATGGTTTAGATGGTGCCACAGATACGAGCCACAGATACGAAATGATCAAAGACACAGCGAGAAAAGGGGGGAGCACAAAGCAAAAACTAGGAAAAGCTCAGAGAAAAGTGGGTAAAAGCCCAGCACACCACAGCAAAGACTGTCGAAAAATCGAGCAAAGTGTGTGGATTTTTTGATTGTAGTTTGGCTTTTAACCCATTTGCCCGTACTCCTCTAGGCTTACGCAATGCATTTGCTGCTGCTGCTGCTGCAACACACTGACTGCAGACAGTAACTGCAAACCAAAGAAATACAAATGCGTATGTAAATTTTGTGTTCGCAAACAAAAATCCTATGAGGAAATCCTATGGGCAGAGGCCAACGCAAAACAAATGAATGACTGACTAAATGAGTGTATGAGTGTGTGTGTGTGTGTGCAAAATATTTGAATAATTGACAGGCGGCAAGCCAGAGACTTTGTTGCTATTATTTCTGGCGTTTTTCTATTGTCGAAAAGGCAGGCACAGACACAGGCACAGACACAGACACTGCCGGACATACTCGTATGACTCGCGTCGACATGCGGGGGCGTTGCTTGGTGTCTGGTCTACAAAATTACTAGACCGCTCCCCCTTGCCCACAGCTATTCGTTAGCCAACAAATATTTCGCAAATAACAAATATTTTCACAAAAACAAAATATAGTTTGGGGGCAAGACGCTGCTTGAGATACCCTAGAAACAAAATAAA